ACATAGTTTCTGTTTATGTAAGTTATGAAAGTAACAAAAAAGTGTTTGCTTTCAAATGTGCATATTTTGAATGTTCCTACCGCCGGTCTTACAATGCGGCACAAATCCCGTGGAAACCACTGCGACAGCAAAAAATCACTGTAAGATTTTACTTAAGTCAAGTAATGACAATAGCAATGAGAGCAGCAATGTCCTATAAGAGCGGGCAAAACGATACTTCAAGTTTTAAGCTTTGCAAAGAACTTAATCAATACTACAGGGCATCTTTTTTGAAGGAGTAATTTAACGAGGTGATATGTACCGTTAAATAATTAGGCAATGTTTGAGGGGAGAGAAAAACTCATTATGACCTAACGTGTAGGTATTCCTGTATATTGCGAAACTTAAAAGAACATTCTTTTCGAATCAGGTATTTTATTTAAAAATACAGGAGTGCACCCGAAGCTTCTCTGAGCATGTTGAATAATTTCTATTAACCTTTAGTGACTCGTATTTGATTTTAACACAGTAGGGAGGTCATTTTAGCCTATCGTATGACTCCTATCGCATTGTTTTGAATCTGATTGTTAAATTACAGCCTGGCTATTTTCGTCTGGCGAACTACACGCTTCGAAGAATGAAAATGAACCGGAAGCTAATTTGACACGCTCGGGCAAGCTGTGATTGTCTTTTTCCACGAAGATTTAAAATTGCACACATTAATTGGATTTGGAAATTTCAAATAAGTAACGAAGCTTCGGATGGAAACATTCGATTTTAGAAGTGGTGCCCAGACAACAGTTTTACGATGAATTCATTGATTTTCAAATGTTCAGTCACTACGACGTTTTGGTTTACCTTATCTCAAATTCAATCTCACCAGCTCACGCAACTAGTGTTTTTGTTGCATTTGGGCCAAAATGAGGTGATTTGGGTGACCCTATGACCTCATTCTATCTACATAACTATACTACAAGACCTGATGCTCATAGAAGTCAAATAAACCTAGTCTATTTGAGAATTCTATGCTGCAAGCTCATTTACGGACCTCACTTATAATTTTGTATCTACATACTAGTTTGAATGCTAATTTAGGCTACGTGATTAGCAAAAAAACGATATCTGTTGTTTCAATTTTATACTTCTTATCTAACTTCTGCCGGCGATGAAACGCCCAAAAGCTGCCTTACAATCGTGGGACTTGTGGTCCATGTCACGTGGTTAGTAAAGACATGACTGAGGGCTGTACTTTGGCCATGCGAAGTCACACTTATAATGAGCCACCTTAACGATCCAACCTGGTCATAAATGTCTTTCAAAATCAAAAAAAGTGATTTGCCATCAACTAAATTGCAAAATGCCTTAAAAAACGAGCGTTTCAATTACTTGCTTCTAAGGTAGCATTTTTGTCTTTCTGTAAATTCCTAGTTGTTCAATAAACGTAAATGAACATGCAAGGAACTAGGTCTTATTCTCGTCCAATAGTCGACGCCTTCTGACCTGGTTTCAAAAATCGGTTTTCATTAGCTGAAAAACGCGAGGGGAAATGTCATACTTGGATATGGCCGAATGTTAGCGACCCTGAAACAACCCTCCAAGTATTATAAGGTTTGCTCGCATACTATTAAATTTAACTTGGGAATATCTAGATAAATGCACGGTCAGGAAACAATACGTCTTAGCTTATTTCGACTATGGATGTTCAAACATTTAACCATGTAGGTGAATATCTATAGAACTTAGCCCTTTATTTTCCATACTTTTAGGTGTTTGCTTTCAATTTTGAATTGTTATGAAATAATAACATTTGTATTATCATTCGCTTAGTCGCCTGAATTCGAATATTCAAGGTGGTAAATATTACCAACTCTTTTGCGATGACACAACTTTTTGCATCTGTTGAGTTTTTCTTCAAACCCTTTGTTATAACACACAAAGTCGCAAATTCGATTTGATGAGATGAGCAAAATCTCCATTTCATGTAGAGGCAGAAAATGTTAGATTTGACTGGATTTGGAAATTGCATTGTTTTGTTGTTTTTCTGTTGACCATAGCTATGATTAATTGGGGAGTTGTTAAATCAAAACTGCTGGAAAGTCATGTTGACAACGTCCTCAGTTTTATTTATCAATCGAACGTGGGCTTACCTGAGCGAACAGTGACTGAAATGCGATTGAAGTAAAACCTTTGTTATCGACGTAATAATTCACATGTTTTTGCACAAATCTTCTTATTCCTTTCAATCTGGAACACTGAGCTGTATTCAGGATCAAAGGCATAGACTAAACTATCAGTTGTTTTTCCTTTAAAAACAACATGTTGCAGGTTTTTTTTTAGCAAAACGCTAAGATCTAGGCCTCAGATAAAAAGGCATAAAGGTGTTTTTATCTTCTGAGCACGCAAGGTCATGTTAATTTTATGGCAGAATTCATTACTTCCTACAATTAAAACCATTGTAGGCATGTTTTGTTTTGAACTACAAAACTATTCAATTCAGAAATCTTTGTTAATCAAATTCCTTTTCATAGTCACTTTCCATTAAGTTCAATATTCTCCTAATGACAGTCTATGACCCACGAAGTTTCAATACAGCCAGCTAAAATGATAAACTTAATGCAACATGCTTAAGAAGTAATACACTGAAAAATGATATAAACAAACATTTCTAGTTAGAAACTCAACTTTTTAAAACGGTGTTTGATTACATTAAAGCGTAGGGATTTGCGGAAAGAAATTTTTTTTGCCACACGTTTAAGCAATCGATCACATTTCAGACACAATTTTCTTAACCGACGTATGCACGAATGAATTACCACTGGGATTTGCTGAGTGGAAGGACAGAAATAGCAAAACCATTGTTTACTAGTAAAGATTGGCAGAATACATTTTCTCCAATCTAAAAGGTCGCAGCATCACCCGATATCTAGATTTGATGTATGAACAACTAATTACAAGTGCAAGTACCATCAATTTGCCTAAATTTGCGTATGAATGGTCGTTGAGAGTAATTTTGACTGCTAGTTGCAAGTAACACTGTACGGGCCTTCTAGTTGGTGCATTAATTTTTCCAATTGGCTTGTGAATTTTAGCAAAGTCAAGTGGCAATCAAGTTCCACCGAAGCACAAACGATGGTTGTGGTCTGATGTAGTGAACTTTGCTTATCCATGATCAAATTAGAACGTGAGTGGCTTATGTCACTTTTAATTGCCGCTATGCACTTCGATAATTTTTCACCAAATAAAGTCATGCAAATTGTAACTTTTTATTTTGTTTCATTTCGGTTCCTAAAGTAATAAAATTTTAATGACATTTTTTTACTTCATGTGAAGTCGGCTGACAGGTGCTAATGGTAAAGCCAGAAATTAGTTTAACGATAAACTTGCCTTTAAATAGTGTTGAACTGATAAGCATTAAGAAAAGTTGCAGTAGCAACGCTTAACTTTAATAGAATACTTTATTTTTTTGTTAAATAATTTAGGTGTTTGCAATTTAGCATGAATAAAAGCATCCAAATGATGTCAAATGTTCTTTCATTATGCAATTACAATTGCTACTCTTTGGTAAATTTGTGACATATGTCATCAAAGGTGCAAATATGAGTTTAAACTAAAGTGCTGCTGCTACATAATCTGATTATTCTCACAGGATGTCACTAAGCTGAATAGAATCCACACAAAAGATCAGTAGAACGCTTTCATCATGACACATAGCCCAAATTCCCGCTTCGGCTCTCGATCACCACATTTCCCTTTCTTTTTAAATGTCTTAAAGTTGACGTGGGATCGTTAGAGCGTTTATCAGTTTCGCAGATTACCGGTCGATTTGTGCACAGCATTCAAGCTAGTCGGATCAAGCCGATACCTTTGACAAAGTCTAGAACATCGTCTGAAAGATAGAAACGAGAATGCTTTTGCAAACTAGACTGTCGTGAAAAGGCCCGGTTCTTAACATCCCATACTGGCTACGCAGGTCACACCTAAATTTTGTTCAATGCAACTCATTTTCTAAATTTTTCAACGCTTTGAAATGGGAAACGATTCTAATAAGCATTTTTGTCATCGTTCACCTGAACCTGAATGGTTACAGATTTTGTGTTTTTGAAGACTGTTGAAAAAATTCACAATATTGATTAGCAGTCAAAAAAGAAGGCCACGTTTCCTACATACAATTTCATTTGGGAGGGAAGGAAAAGGAATCCTGCTTTCGTTTGTTTAAGATATATTTTAGGCCTTAAAAACGGTGTCCGATGTTGAAGAAACCAGACCCTTTGAATAAAGAGCCCATAGGAGAGTTCTAGATATTTGTGAAGCAATTTGTTGTATGCAGCTGAAACAGGTGACGCAGGCGTCCATGGTTTTTTGAAGTGACGAAGCAAACTAAAAGTGCATCTTGGGATTGCGTTTCAATTTTCAAGCTACGATCAAGGCCAAATTTTATTTCTTGTGGTAATATGAGATAATATTTGACAGATCACGGAAAGTGTACAAATAAAAAAAACAATTTCGATGACTCCTCCGTAAATTATCAACTAGCTTCATTGTGCAGCTGAGATGCCAAATAATAAACTCGAATTGAGACACTTTTGAACTCATAATTTGCAAGTAAATTTAAGAACCCACTCCCATAAATCAATAGTAACGGGAAAAGGCATGAAATGACAGGCTCTTATTTTGCCAATCCGCATTTGTGTTTATGCCGTCTATTTAAATGTGGGAGTCAATAATTCCGCAAGTTTCGAGTGTGTGGTTTTCTTTACTGTCGGCGATTACACAAGTTTGGAATTTGCTAGCAGGACAAGTTGAGGTTGTTGATCGGTCCTAGTGAAGTCATCAGCATTGTTTCTACTGACATTCTTTTTCAAGTGAGACCGTAAAAACAGGTCATTCATACTATACCTACAGCATTTGAATATAGCCTAATGACATACTATTATTTTGTTGCACCCAAATCAAACAGTGTGAAATGAATCGGGAATGCGGATCCTTACTGGCTTGTTCACATCTTTTAGCTTTCGAGCATAATGGAGGTATCGTGTGACATTGAGATGATCCGGGATCCGGAGTCGCGCAAGGCCAACATCACTTACGTCGCCCGCCACATCGAGGACGCTTTGACCTCGCAGCGCGAATACCGCGATGGCTGCGGCGTCAACTGTTGTCAAGCGATGGCCCGATCCTGCTGCTTCTGGTTTGGTAAACGCTATGGCAATTACCTCATTTGCCTTTATCTGATCACCAAAGCCCTGTACATATTCAACGTTGTTGGGCAGTTTTTTCTAATGAATCGAATTTTGGGCACGAATTACACATTCTACGGACTCGATCTTATCCGAGACATTGCTGAGGGCTATCTATGGGAGGAGTCAGGAAATTTTCCACGTATTACACTGTGTGACTTCGAAATCCGGAAGTTGGCCAACAGCCATCGCTACACCGTACAGTGCGTCCTTCCCATAAACATGTTCAACGAGAAAATTTTCATCTTTCTTTGGTTCTGGTTCATTCTTGTCTCAGCAGTAAGCATTAGCTCTTTTCTGTATTGGTCATACAAATCAAGCTTTCGGTCAAATCGGATCCAGTTTATTCGAAAGTTTCTCAAACTTCGGGATTCTCTTGAACCAGGCGAGAAGAAAAAGAGTTTCACTTTTATAGATTCATATCTTCGTCAAGACGGAGTTTTTATCCTTCGGTTGGTAGCCCAAAACGCCGGTGAATTAGTTGCATCGGAGATTGTTGAGAAACTATGGCAGATGTTCAAAAGACGCCAGGCACTGCCTACAACAGAAAAGGCTCGTGCCAATGAAATATCCTGTAAGCCTGGAGTCTCGGGACACTCGCACATTCACTCGCCCCCACCGAGGTTGCAGAGGGGTTCCGAGCACTCGACGCTATCCACCACCACGCCTCCCGTCAGCTCGACGCAGTCTGGACACAAGCACGTTTTTGGTGCCTGTCTACCACCACCGCCGTCTGTGCCCGCTGCCCAGTACGCTATGCCGCCTCCTCTTCCGCCTCCCCCGGGTAGTGTCGCTTCGGCGTCAAACAGCATCGCCAGTGGCTCCACGTCCTGCAACACTCGAAGTTCCGATCGGTCAAAGGGCGGTTCTAAGCACTCATCCCTTCCTCCTAAAAAGCCAGTTACTAAGAAGGATTTTACTAACGGAACAATTGAGGAGGACCCGGGAGAATTTGTTTGATTTTTCCAGAGACCCAAAGTTTTTGTGGCAGCAAAATGAGAAGAAGCGCTAGCTAGTCCTTCCTCATACCCATCAGCCTTATACATGCCTAATCCGACCCACCCACATATTTTTAAATCATCCTGCTGCTTGCCTCGGTTAATAGCCTCCCGTAACTGTGTGCCCAGATTCTTCCATTCCATTTAAACATTACAGTATATGAGCAGAGTGTTAGTTAATCTATTCGGGATCACCAAAACCGTGTTGTTAAAGGTGATACTGGTTGAGAGGCCTTATATAGGATAAATAAGTAACAAATAAGTCTATCCTTTCAAAACCATCGAAAAACACCTCTCGTGCTTTTGTTATTGTGCGCTTGTGTGATTGGAGGAAATAGAGACGTGATACGCAGCAATGCACTCTCTTGTTTCCTGGGGCGATTTGTTCAGTCATCCGCAGAAGCCCTTGGGCTAAGTCTTAACGACACACTTAGTGCTTTCGAGTGGTTGAGGATATCTTCTTATTTTCTAAGACCTTAATACATTCAAAACTTATTACTTGAACCATTCCCTAATTCGTCTGGGACTACATTTCCACGGCACATTGAAAATTGGGACATGTCGTTAGGGAAACAAATTTAACTTAGACCCTATTAGCCTGAGCTAGTGTGTCCAAATTGTGGTTTGCAAGACATGCACTGCCAAGACAATTCAATGTAAATGAGTTTGGAGCAAATTATGTGGATAATTAGCTGCAACACGGAAAATTAAAATTTGAGTTCAAGTTCAGTTATTCAAAATCCCTCGCCTGCTAGGTTTCTTTACTAAGTTGAAACTGTCGTGTACAGCAAGCCTTTCTTGTAGAAGCATGTGAAATGCTGAACGCGAAATTAATCTATTTGTCAAAACTGAGTTAGGTTTTTTCTCAAACTGTTTACTCTTCATACATAAAGTACCTCTAATCTTCAATTTAAATCCCAATAAAATGTATAGCTATGCTCATTTTCTGGCTCTTTACACTTGATGCGATTAGAGTAGAGTACAATTCAAGTGCGAATTTCAGGATTTCGGCAGACCAGAACATGACGTAATTTCATTGGCTTCGGTGCTGGGAAGCCATAATTATCCCTACATATTTCGCAAACTCTTATTTCAGGCTAAATTCATTTCTGTCACCTCATGTCTGAATTCACGTGGTTTAGCTTAAGCAATATTATTAACCAATCCAATGCGAATAAGGAACCGACTAAAGAAAATAATAACTTTATCAAAGAAATCGAAGTTGACCTGTTAACTTGGCATCGTTTGATAATTCTATAAAATTCATCTTGTTTGGTTTTTTCCTAAGAAACATCGAGAGTTAAAATGACACCTGTCTCCAAATTAGGTCTGCGCGTATTCTCACACCAGAAGCAACTTAAACCCCAACGCCTGGCTACTAGGTTCTCATCCTGGGAACGTATTAAAGGACAGTGAGGGAAAGTTAAATCATTTAGGAGCCACGTCGACCCAAACAGAAATATCAAAGGGGTCGCTTGCTGAATGTCTAATGCAAAATAAATGACTGGGCTTGCCGTAGAGTAGGACGTTGAGTTAGTTCTTTGGCAAATGCTTATTTGTTTGACTGCCTAGGCGTTTCATACAAAACATATTTCAATTAAACGGTATTTGAAATTAAACCCCATGGAAACAAGCCATCAGGAGACTGTAATTTAACGAAAACTTTCAATGGAGGTCATTGTTGTCTAGAATTGTTTCTTATTCAAGGAACTAGACTGATTTACGCAAACTAAGCAACGTATCCTAACTCCTTAACTAAATTTCTTTGAGTGAAATAAATTCAGCAAATCCCCTTTCCAAGTGGAACTTACACATTTCTTCTGCAAAAATTCAATACATTGAGTATAATTATTGAATGTAAAACAACAACATGATCTTAGTTACACTCGTTACAGCAAATTAATTTTGTTAAAAATTGTCTTTTCTGTAATCTGCTTCATTTACCTCTTGATTCGAAAACTCTGGGCATTTTCAAGTCCGTGAGAAACCTAATTCAGCTCTAACCACAATTTGGCTCGCTCAAAAAACAATTTCTTAGGTCGGCAACATAATACTAGACTTGAATATGACTGATACCATATACTTGAACATTATTATACTAACCATAATTTGCAGTTTTCATTTGATATATTACATTACAGTTCCAGATGCTGGGCTGTGAATCAACTCAAAAACACCTCATGGTGGCAGAGTTCAAATTGTCGATTTAACACGTTTCAAATCCATTTGAATGTATTTACTCAGATGCCTAAATTTTGATTAAGCGATCACGTGACTTCATCTGTTAAATTGTAAAACCTTATCTTAGACCAAGTTTTGTTTGAAGGCTCAACCAAAATAACGTTTCGCGTTTTTCTGGCTACCCCATCTAAGGGAAAATATCAATATTCTGTAGACACTGAATTATTTGGCATTCTCCTGTCTAGGGTATCAGTAAAATCGTGAAAAAAACGCCTCACATCATAGATTCATGCGTAGTAAAAATTTGCTTGTGCTGCATTTTCCTTTTACGATAAATGTTCTTATGAGTGCGGGTTTCTTTTCATCAATAAAGGAACTACAAATTATGCGTCTCGCTTAGGTAACAGGGTAATGTCTATTTTTATCCTCAATAATTCTTCTGAAATTAGGGGAGACGGGTGTTTATGGTAGAAAGACATGTGAATGGGCGGATTTTGGATTTAAAGGCGGTGGGGACAGACATGTGAGAATACGTCTGCCACAGAAAAGCACATTAACAAGACCCTATGGGCTATAAAAAGAATAAGCAAAATGGTTGTCTGCGTACGATATTCTATAATAGGCAACATTAAACGACTTCGAGTTTCGCCCGTTCCAGGAGAGTTTATTGAAAATGGCTGGTTAGTTCTATTGCTAAAATAACATCTCGCCTATGTTTTTAGTAGTCAATTTACAATTAGCATTACCCGGGTCATTAGTTTAAATTCATTTGCTGAACAATGATGTGAGTCATTGGAACCAAAAGGTTGCGTGCTAATTCATCGCATCTTACAGTTAAACTTTCAAAAATACATAAAATTGGCAATCTAATATGTAAATATTTCTATTTCTGACAGAAAATCTTGTACTTTGAGAAATAACTAGTCAGCTGGTTTCACAAACATCGAAAGATTGTGAAGCTTTTAACAACACTACTGATGGACTAGATTTTCATCTGAGGTGATCGAAATAGTCCGATCCAAATAGGGATTTTGATTTTGTACAGATAAAAATTGGGACTGTTGACCTGCTGTTTTGGGATGCTATTTAAAGCATTTTCGTGCGGCGTCCTTGACCAAATTCATTGGTGAAAGAGTAAACCTAAATGTCTAATCACATAAATATCCTAGCAGGAAAATTACTGCCTCTACTAAGAAAAACGAGAAAACGCCAAGAACTAAATGGTAAAATTATATTATATTACTGAAAAACACGAATTGAATAAAAATGCTTGTTTACTATTTTGCGTGTGATCATGCTCCTCTAGTGTCCTTTCATATTTGATGAGTCGATTTCATAGAAAAAGTGTCAAATTTAAGTAGGTGCAAGAACCATCCATAATCTGACATCACTATTTTTGCGCTTAACTGCCGTTATCTGAATGTGATTATGCTACAAGACAATAAATTTTGAAGAAGGAAATTCAACTTTGTAAACTGGTGCCCAATAAAAGTGCTGCTTTCTAGTGAAATACAAACTTTTGATTATCAACTTCTACTTAAACGCAACAGACTCTAAGCCACTGGTAATTAGCGAACGCTTGAATTGGAGTAAATAATCGTGCTGGAAAGCCATATAAGACTTACAATGTCGCTTTAATGTGATTGAGATCGAACCTCGATGAGATTTGTTTTTCTGCTTTGCTTTCTCTGAGATGTTCTGTCGCCAATACTACTAGGAATTCTGGTCTGTGATGTTCTCATCATCTACGAGGTTGCTTACCAGTTCATCTTGTTTTTGCGCAAATTCTGAACAGTTATACTGTCGGTCACTTCTTGGTAACTGTTAAAGTAAATACAAGAATGAACACGTAAATCGGATTCGCTAAAATTTTTTCCACTGCAGAATCAACCATTATCATAATTACAACGTTAGCTTGTTGAGCAAAGTCGGTTTTGTACCTAAATAACAAACGTAGTGGCAAAAAGGCTTCTATTTAGCAATAAGAGTTTGGTGCACTCCTTCCTTACAAAAGACCTTCAATTCAGGATTACCGATGTTCTATCTTGAACGAAAAAATGAAGTGGATTATACATTGAAAATATAAAAATGACAAATTTGGTGATTAAACAGAAAGCGAACATGGGTGTGATGTAGGATCTTGAAGGCCAAGTTATTTTACTTATAAAACCTCGTGACAACTACATGTCCTTGCGCATCGCTCTAGAGGTGAATGTCTCCGTGTCTGCTATTTATTACCGATGAATCTACTCATTCGGGCTTCCAGTGATTTCTGCCATTATGCTGCCGATGCAAGCACCGGTTACTCCATTTCAAGGTTTTACGCACAATGAAGTCTTTTGGGTGACCGTAGACACTAAATTCGGCAGCCACCGCCTCAGTGTGCGTCCCTGGATTAACTGTCCAGTTTCGCTAAGCAAAACAATTAAGAATGAAAACAAAAAAAAACTAGACTGCTAAAAACTACCATAATAAAATACCTTGAAGGGATCCCTGCAGAGAAGGTATTGAATTGCCAAATGTTTCAAGTTCATGACACAAATTATGAGGCGCGTGATAGTAAACCCTTTCAGTATTTTTTACGCGGCTTAAAAACTATGTCAAGGATTTTCATTTAACATTGGTGGATGATTGATCCCTTAATTAGGGCAATTTTCTACTTTGCAGAAATTATCATTTAAATGTCGATCTTATTTCCTTTAGTCACTTCAATATCACCATCATTTCACTAAGTGTTGACAGTGAATGTGTCACTACTTTTTCTATTAATGATCTTAAACT